CCCCCCCCCCTGTCCTACCCTTTTCCCCACTGTTAGGTTAACATGAGGGGACATGTTACAGTTGTGTGAAGAATGGCCCTTTTCAAATGTAGATTTGGGGAGAAAAGGATACATCCTTCCCTCTACTTCCTTCCAGGAAACAGGATTGGAGTAGAGAGGAAGTTGATTCAGGTCAAAGAATTTGAGAGTAATTTGATTTACTGACTTTAAATGACCTTTTTACACATGTTCAAAAGCTGTGAAGAGCAAGGGACAGAAAGCATATTCAGAGCCATCATGTCCGAGTGGAAATGTCAGGGGTATTAGCACCAACCCCCCAAACAAAACACCCTCCCCCCCACTTTTTCTCACAGAGAAAGAAAGTAATTGGGAAAAGCCGAGCTCTGGTGGAAAGCGAGGGGGAAAGTGAGCGCAAACAACCAGCACGGAGGTTCACCGAGTTACAGGGGCTCCGTCTCCACAGGACACACTGTTGGTGCCCCCGGAGGTTGCTGGAGTGACTTGTGGTAGTCTTGAAGTTTTTATTGAACTCTAAGTCTGTCATAAAGAAATGGATTTAGCCATAAGAACGAGAAAATATCATCTGTGAGCCTGAGGTAGCTTGCTAGCAAGGGACACTTTAAATAACTTCTTCATGGTTTCTCAGGAAAACTGTGGTTTCCTGGCATTTAGAACATTTATGAGGGGAAAACTTTGCATTCCAATAATTAACTCAGTGCTGGTGTAACTGTAATAGGGCTTTACATCATCACGATGTAGGAGCATCAAAAGCAGACAGGCCAGGGCAGGCCAGTTCTAAGAGGCTCCTTTCTTCTACCGGCAAAGATGATTCATAGTGATTTACAGGGAAGGTGACCGAGACGCTCTGACAAGTCTCATCAAAAGTCAAGGCTCTTTGATAGTATTGATTCCACCCCTGAGCTCCTAATATTTGCCAGGCACGATTAGAGGCACCGGCTTAGAATCTATGCTTAGCCTATGCTGTGCAGTGGAGCCTCTCTCTCCTGCTCGTCTGTGTAATGAGAAAGGAAAGCGTAATAATTAGTGTGCACAGCTCTTGCTTGGATATGAGAATATATATGAAAGTTGTTTTTAGACAAAATGTTGGTTCTATAGAAAAGTCTGGTGGGTTAATCCAGGACAGATAACCCCTCAGGAACAGTAGAGGGAGTAGCAATATCATGAGAGGAGGGGGAAGGGGGAGAAGGGAGAACCCATCACAAACCCCCAAAGAGCATGAATAACAGAAATGTAGGCTAAGGGAGACAAGGGACAGTGTAAGATATGAAATAATAATAACAATATACAAATATATATATAAAATCAATCAAGGATTCACGAGGGTAAAAGAAGGTCAAGGAAGGAGGGGAAAAAAGAGGCGCTTATACCAAAGGCTCAAGTAGAAAGAAAATGTTTTGGAAATGATGGCCACATACGTACAGATATGCTCGATACAATTGATGGTTGGAATGTTATAAGAGGTGTAAGAGATCCCAATAAAATGATTAAAGAAAAAAAGAATTAAGCAATTGGGTGCTAATCAAAGATTAATGGTTCAAACCCACCCAGTGACTCCATCGGAGAAAGACCGCTGATCTGCTCTTGTAAAGATTAAGGGCAAGAAACGCCCTGGGGTCAGTTCTACTCTATCCTGTAAGGTCCTTATGAGTCGGGACTGACTTGATGGCAGTGGGCTCGTGAATGAGTAATGAAAGATGAGGATTAAAACCAGCAGTTATCGAACCCTCAGCATGGACCAGGCATTACTTAGGAGGAAGTGTATCTCTAGAATTTTTCTCTGCATGGCAAGAACAGGCCTTTTTTTAATCTTTTGCTTCTGCACTCTACCTTTATCTCTTTCTCTAACTCTATAAATTGCATCCTTTCAAAGATAAGAAGATGTTAAGTTTATCAGAGCAGGATGCAATAATATTGTCATTATCCACAGACTACAATTCAGAGTCCTCGATATGACTGTCACTCAGGATGATTGGCATCAGCTGGGCAGCCTAAAGCAGCTCTTTGGGACTCTTCTCCCTTCCTTCCCCGCATTCGATTATTTTCAATAGACAGTCTCGGGTTGAGGCGAGGTTCTAAGGGAAGAGGGAATTGAAATAGTTTAACATTTTTATTTGAAGTAAGAAAAAGTGCCTTCATGGAACAAAGATGGTAAACATTTACATATACTTCACTAACTAAGGAGCCCAGGTGGTAGAGTGCTTTATATGCTGGGCTAGTAACAACAAGGTCAGCAGATCAAATCCACCAGCTGCTCTTCGGGAGAGAGATGAGACTTTCTGTGGCGTTAAGGTTCACAGCCTCAGAAACCTAATGGGACAGTTCTATGCTGTCCTGTCAGCTCACTGAGTCAAAATTGACAATGGGGTTTGATTTTTTTAAAAACCAAGTATACTTAACTCTGGTTCTCAACTCTGGCTAAATATTAGATCCATTTGATGAATTTTGACAAGCATACTGATTGATGACCCCATCCCAAACAATGAGATCAGAATCTTGTATTTATAAAGGTTCCTGACATTTCTTCCATATTGGAACATAGTATATTGTCTTAATCTCTAGTTGCCAATGCCTTCTGTTTATTGTTAGATTGTATATTATTGTCATTGAGGAAGCAATGCTAAGGACATTTTGGCACCAAACCCACTTCCAGACTCTGAATCATATAGGAAGGACTCAATAAATATTTCTTGAATGGTTAACTTAGTGGTAGGTACCATTTCAGTTGAAGTCGAAAATTTCAGGAGAGTTTATACTGGCAGTTGCAAGGCATTTTCTAGCCTTAATATTGATCCTCTTTTCAATTTCTAATTTCAAAATAGTAATTTCATTCATGCACTAGCAATAGAATCAGCTTCTTTATCATATTTAAGGAAAAGCAAAGTAGTTTTAGTACACACAGCACAGACATAAGCACATCTGCACATATGTGTAGATATATAAGCAAAAAGATGTAAGTCCACAGCATATTGAAAATATATCAGATGGAAGTAAATTGTGTACCTATTCAGAAGAGGCCCTTCTACCATATTGAGGAGATATGTGATCTTGGCTGACATTAGCCAAAGGTATTATTAGATTTGATAAGTATATCTTCAGCTGTGGGATATGAGGGAAAACGTAGATTTTGAAATAATCTGGTCTGCATCATGCAACACAGGATAGAATTTGTCCATTGAAATTTAAATCAGAACAGGTTCACATCACTGATTCTCACACCAGGTTACAGATTGGGATCAGATGGAGAGCTGACAAACACACGGATGTCCATAGTCTACCCCTAGAGAAGCTGCAGCTTGGTGTGAGACATTTTAAACACCAGGCAGGTTCAGTCAAAATGATTTCAAATAGAATACACGGCGGGTTTGTGCTCTCCATGGTACCAGTGCCGATCACTCAGGAAACAGCATTTCGTTAGTCCTCTGAAATGTGTAAGCTGAAGGCCAATGGAGTAAGACTAATTGGTTCAAGGTCAGGGGAAGATCCTTTTTAGTCATTTGAACATTGCTTGCCTGCATCTCAACAAAGGACTCATTGTTTGGCCAGGCACAGCCTGCAGAGAGCTGAGCTCTGTGGCATCCTCCACTCCTCGCCATATTCATTTAGATGGCATACAGGCCCTATTTCAGAGACAGTGAATGCACTGGCTGATACATAAATTGAATCCGATCTTTAAGGTTTTGCTTAAAGTTTGTCCAGGGGTGGTTTGGATTCCTTCCCAAGTCACCTAGCAGCTCACTCACCTCAGAGAGCCTTGATTTTTCACTACTGTTTCCCAGCCAACACACCCTGCTCCAACAGTGCACTTGACAATTCCTCAAGGGCACAGCTGCCCATGAAAATTTTCCATGTGAATCACATTGTTTTAGTTCCCGCCCTCCTTCTTTCTCCTTGCCCTTTCCTGGGGGAGGGGTTCAGTCTGATCTTTTAAAGCAGAGAATGGAGTGAAAATGAAGTGTTGCCTCAGGACAAGTCTGCATGGACCTTCAACGAGAGGAGCCAACTCTAAAAGAAGCCATGGCCCTTTCTAAGAGATACTGAGAAAAGGGGGCTGATCTTGGTTAAACTCTCAGTGCCCCCATGCCCTCTAGGACAGCGCTATGCATCTCTGTATCTCTAGTGCTTCATGTACACGGACAAAGCTGAACAATGCCTTATGTCTACATTGTATCTCTTATAAGGAAAAAAAATTTGGGGTGGGGGAGGTAAATTGCAAAGGCTTACCAAACAGTAAGGGAGAACGTTTGTAAGAAAACCCTCCAGTGCTCGACCTGACCAATGGGAATGAGTCCACGCTCAGGTTGGTGCAGGTAAATGCACCAAGACATCAGAACTTGAATAGATGGGCATCCCTCGTTACCTTCCCTTTACAGTGAATCTACACAAAGTTATTTTTATGCTGGAGTGTACCAAAAGGGATTTGGTGGCACGGTGATTGAGCAGCTAACAGAAAAGTGAGCTGTTTGAATCCACCAGCCACGCTGCAGGGGAAGCTGGCACGGTCTGTTCCCACGGAGATGCCAGCCTGGGAATCCTGCGGGGCAATTCTACTCTGTCCTACAGGGTCATGATGAGTCAGACTTTGGCTTGACAATAATGGTTTAGGGTTATTTATTTATTGGGTGGGGGGGTGGCAGGGAGGGGGGGTTGTTTTAGTTCCCAAATGGAGAGAATGGGCTTACCAGTGAGCATGAGTGTTCTGTTTTTATTTTCTGCTTTTTCTGGCAAATACATATTTCCAATTTAAGTAGCTCGTTGGCCTTTAAGTCTATACAAAAGCTTTTCAAATAGTTTAAAAGTATAAACTAGTCTACACTTTTGCTACTGGGAAAGTGGAGAAAAATTCCAGGCTGCATGTTGGATTCCAGTTCTCCCTCTACGAGTTGTCTCTGTCACGTGACACTGGGGCAGGTGGGTAGCCGACCCCGCACTTGCAGCCAAGTCTGCCCCATTCTTTGGCGTGGAGCATGCAAGGGCCCGCCTCCAGTCGGTGTGGCCTGAGAATGCCCCCGCTGCCCAGAGCTCCGTGGCGCTTACCTTTTCCTGAAGACGTTCAATAATAGCAGCTAGATTCGCCTCACGGTTCTCCTTAATTTGCTCCATTTTCAGAATCAGCTTTTCCTCCGCCATCTTGCTGAAATTGTTGTTCTCCTCCAGGGCCTTCTGCAGGACTTCTCGCTCGTGTTCCCGCTTCTCCGCCAACTGCTTCAGCACCTGGGCCTCTTGAGACTGCGGAGAGAACACAGCCACCTGACAGCCACCCAGGCCCTTCCGGGTGAGCAGCTAGGGCAGGGCGGGCTGGGCAGCCCAGGGCAGGTGGGACCACTCGCTCCCATCCAGAGGAGCATCTCCCACCCAGCGAGAGAGGGTCCCTGCGCGTGAGCGTCGATTGGATGGAAGAGAGCTTGGTTTACAGAATTCCAAGGGCAGAGCCCTGTGGGCCTTGAGGTTAAAACACTCAGCTGCTCACCGAATAGGTCGGTCCTGTGAACCCAGCAGGTGCTCCCCAGGAGAAAGGGGGGAACTCTCGGCTTCCTCAGACAGATGTGCAACCTCAAAGCCCCGGGGGCACTTCTACACTGCCACCTAGGCGCGCTTCGCGTTGTAATGAACTTGACGAATGGGTTTGATTGGGGTGTTTGATTCATTTTAAATTGAGTGTTTCTCAAAAAAAGTTTTTGAGTGCACTGTTGTCAGCTCTCTGCTCGTCTGCTCCCACGCACGGCTTGGAGTGGGATGTGTTGAGCTGAACTTTCAGCTGCGGAGTTCATTTTAACCGGCCCTTAGAAGAAGCATTTAACGCTCCTTGAGGACTGTGGTTTTTGAACATTTGTATGACATGAAATGCTGTCACTAACCACTGGATGGCAATCTCCCATGAAGCTTTGGGAACATGGACCAGGACGGCGGGTTGGGGGTGGAGGGGGAGAGGGGGGCGGGGTGTGTGTTCTGGTTTCGTTCTCGCCACATTTTCTGATTAGCTGCAGGCTGGATCCTGCCACAAACTTGCCAAATTTTGCCAATTGAATCTCCAGCCAATTCATTTTCTCCTCATAATCCATTTCCCTCGTTCTTCCCCATAAGACAGATTTCCGTTGGAGACCCGATAACTGGGCACACTTAATGTCTCCTTAGCTACAGGCAGGACAACATCCTGGTTCTGATCATTCTCTCGAACATGCAAAAGATGCGTGGGTTATCATTGAAACCTTGCGACTTTTTAGTGGTAAGCACGGAAACATCGCAGCCAACTCCTCTCCTCTCTTAATACTTACACACTCAGTCCATTAGAGTTCTATGTAACACTGTATAGTAGTATACTCTCTCTCTCTCTCTCCCCACCCCCCTCTCTCATCTTTCATCAATCATATATTCTCTGGTTCATTGGAGATTAGACAGAAAATCCTGGGAGCCAGTCCCCCTTCTTGCATTAACCTCGCAATATTTTCAATAATATCTTTGATGGACCTGTCCCTTACTTGCTAAGTTTTAATTTTCATAGAAATGAATATCACAATAAGGACAAAACACTAATGTAAAATAAATTTCAAACTGAGTAGAATCGAGTCTTGCTGGAAGGAACGTGAATGAACTATGTTCTCACTAGTTGATCCTCCTGCTTCTAGAGGGGCTGTTGGTAAACAACCCTGGAGATAGTTTCCTAAGTCTCTGAGAGAGTGACTGAGAGAGAGAGAGAGAGAGAGAGAGAGAGAGAGAGAGAGCACTTCTTCCTTTGATCCCGACTAAAAGTTATCATGGAATTATTTTTGCATGGTACCTATCTCACAGGGCTATTTGTCAAGATCTAATGAAGTAAAACGTTCAGGTGTTCAGTGCTTACCTACTGTGGGGTGATTACGGAGTAAATGGCAGCTATTACTATGCAAGGAGATGCTTGGGCCGCTACGAGATGATGCCAATTGAATATACTGGCACAGCTAACCTGAAATATAAGCTTTTCACTATCTCATCTGCCCACAGTTCAAAATCCTTTACTTATGGTCAATTAGTGGATCCAAGCATCCTCATGTTTTATGTGTGAGGGCTTTTCTACCTCCCTCCATGTCCAGTGAATGGGCGGTATGACAGGAAATTTCACAGTGAATTAAACACCAGGTAAAAAAATAAATAGATACAAGTAAGAAGAAATTGTTTGGGTCATTCATTACACTGAGGGGCAATTCAATACCTATAATCTCCAGTCCAGAAAAACTGCGAGAGGGAGAAGGCAGGTGATCATTGGAAAAGGTATGATATAGCTAAGAATTAGGCATTGATTAAAGTATAGCTTTCTCTTGTAATGAATATAAACACAAGAAACATCTTCAGAAAGCACAATGGAATAAACAAAGCATGAAGAAGCAAAACAAAATGCAACTTTTAGCACACCTTTTTATCACACCTACTCCTAAGTCACAACTGATAAAAGTCAGGTAATAAAAGCCAGTCACCATGGAGACAACCCTGACTTATGGCAATGCCTTGTATGTCACAGGAGAACTGTGCCCCATGAGATTTCCAATGGCTCTCTTTTCAGAAGTAGTCCACCAGTCCTTTCCTGTGCGGCATCTCTGGGTGGGTTCCAACCTTTAATCTTGCCAGTAGCAGCCAAGGAAATTAGCCATTCACACCACCCTACCCAGGATCAATGTGAGTTCTCTGGTCAGCATGTTAGCAGTTCCTCCACTCAGTGGCCCCAGTGCCATCTGGAAGGATCCATCTGGGGTATTCATGGCTACTGATTCCAAGCAGCCCTCTGACAAGAACTCATGCGGCACAGTGACATGAGCCGCCACCTGTGTTTAGAGAACCAGGGCTGATTCCTGTTTGGCTGAGTGTGGGTGTCCATTGGTGCTCTGGAGGGGACCCCATGATCCAACTGTGTGCTGCTCTTCACACTGTTCTCAGTCCACAGAGCGTCCTCTAGAGGCCGCCACAACTGCCTACTCTTTAATGTTCAGGTATTTACGTTAACTTTGGCATTTGATTAAAATGAGTTTTAACTTTATGTGTATATTTAAATTCTTAATTTCCTTGGTGAAAGAGGCAAAATTAGGAGAAGACAGCAGGGAGATAGGATTAAGAAAGGAACCCCTTGGAATGAAGAGTAATTAGCAATTTGTGGCACTACATAGGACATAAGCCTCTGTGAACTCCCTCTATCCACAACTGAGGATGGGAGGAAAGCGGTTATTAAACAGAGAGCTTTGGAGAGATGAGTGTAGAAGATGGAAGGCACAATTCTGACTTGAACAGTTCAAACGTTGTCAGTATATCCCCTCTACCATGCATGCCGGGCCTGACCTGGTTTCCAAAGTTTTATGTGTTTTCAGGTTGTATTGTTTTGTCTTGTCTTTGTTTGTTCATATTAGGGTATATCTCAGAGGTCTAATGTCATAGGAAGACACCCTCTTGAAGTTGTGTTATATGGTTTTCCATGGATCAGTATATGAAACCCAGGATTGATGAACATACAGAGATAGCAAGTAGAAGAAGGGTTTTTGGGGGGGAGGTAGGTACAGTGTTGGTGGCGGGCAGATGATGTCAAGGAGTCTATGTAGAAAAAGATTGTTCAATTGTACAATTCTGCTTGATGTGATTGAATTACGCAATGAAATGATATATGTATCAAATCCCAATTTTAAAAAAGAAGAAGAAAAGCAGAACTAGTTCTGATGTACAGCATCTGAAGCATATCTGTGTCTGGATTTTTTGTTGTTAGATAAAATAAATGTTCTTAGTGTTTAAAAGAAGATACTTATCTTTTCAGATGTCTTGCCTAGGTGTGACCTATCTAGTCTGTATGAACAGACTTCCAGAGCTCCCATTATAAGTAACCGAAAGATGCTTACTATATTTACTGGAATACACGATGTGGCTTACTGTATTTACTGGAATATGCGATGTGGCTCAGTTTGCAATGCTTCATTGAATGGGGCTAATGCATTTCATGCAGTTGTTGGGGGTCAGTGAGATGACGCAGCATAGGTGTCGCCTGCATTCCTTTAGCCCAGTAAACGGGCTGAAAGGGAGACACGGAGCAGCACAGAGCTCCATCCAGTGAGCATCTGCTGCTAGCCACAAGGACCTGCCTGCACCACGACTGGCCTGGCTATGCTTGGGTGCTTCTCAGTTCCCTGGGACGTTCTCACACACTGGGTAGGAATGTTCTCCATCATTGTGTTGACTAGTCCTGTTTAGGAACTAAAAAAAAATCAATGCTTTAAATAGTTCAAGTTCAAGCCCTTGTGGAAAAAATGTAGAATTATGAAAATAGACTCAGTAAGAAAATTCTTTTAACTCCCTATCCCCAGCACGGCTCATAAGAACTCCACTCAAATGGCTCCACGGAGCTAAGAGGCAGGCAGGCTCCTCCCCCACATTCCCTAAGGTCTCTGTAACTCCATCAGTGTAAATAATCATAATCATTCTTTGGTTCTCCACTGTATGCAATCCATGTGTCATAGCTGATAACTTCTCCAATTCAACCCTTGGAGAGAAATCCTGTTCTTTTTCATTAAAACCTGTTGTGGGGCCGACTCCTCCTCAGAGCGACTCAAGCGTTAGAGCGGAGCTGTGTTCTAGGGGGTTCTCAGTGGCAGACTTTCCAGAAGTAGAATGTCTGTCTTCGAAGGCACCCCAAAGTGAACTTCCTTTAGCAGCCGAGTGAGCTCACTGCCCCGCCCAAAGTTTAATCATCTAGTTACAGCTTCAAGAAATGGATTTGGTGCTCATTCCACTGTTTCCACATATCCATGAATAAACAAGTAAGCATTGAGTCCAGAAAACTGTGCTAAAATATGATTTGAAATGAGAGCAAGGGAGTAGATTGACAACATGCGATAAACAGAAATGTGAGAGCTTTCCTCCGTTCCTGGTAAAAGTGAAGCTCGCCCCCTACAATCAAGCAGGCATTCTCACGCCCTGCGTAGCAGCGCCTGTATAGACAGACGAGCAGAAAGGACTTTTGATTGGCTGGGCTGATAGGAAGGCTGGAGAAGTGGGATTTGCTGTAAGCTATTACAATTAGTTGTTCAAGGGAAGTGTATCTGACCTTGGAAGGAACATTTCTGAATAGCATGTACTTAACATAGAAGGTCAGTGAAATACTGAAAAGGAAAATTAGGGCAAGATAATTATCAGCTGATATAATGCAAATGTCAAGGCAAAATATTTATAGAACTGAGACGTTCATCATGACATTCTGGGAGACTGTGGAACTTCTCCAT